TATATGATCAAAATATATATTCTAATATATTTATTGAATGAATATTTGATGGTAATTTCTGTTTGTTTATTATAAACGTAATGTTTAAATAAAATTACGTTTATACTGAAAGTAAACGTGTGATACGATAATAGGCACGTGAGACTATGTATGACTTATAATAATTAATTTGTATAATAAGAATATTTTTATAAAAGGGGCGCATTTACGATACCTGATAGTAGAATGGATAAGAGATTTTCTCGTACGCATCACCACTTGGAAAAGGATACTTCTACTACGTAGCATTACTATATAATTGGCATCACTATACTGAAGATGAATTTCCAACGTTTCCATTCCTCAACGTGCACGGTACATCAAAGAAGTAAAGAAAAATTCTCACGATAAGGGGAACCTCAGTGATAACCCAATCTTACTGAAGAGAACAAATCGATCGCGTGGTAATACTTATGTCAGGCATGACGTGATTGGTCTAAGATACCGACATTAAGCTCAGGAATTCATTAGAAGAACAGCTGATGCCTAGATAACATTCGGTTTTACTAGTTTTATTAGTTTTATTAGTTTCTAGAAGTCGAGAATAAATGGGGAGTTTGAGATAGAAATGATGTATAATTAATTGGATGTGCGTATTTGCAAGACAATGCAACCATTATCATCGAGATATTTAAGGACGGAGTAATGTTATATTTACAAAACGATGAGATATTTTAATTCCGGTCGTGTATCAGCATACGCCACGCGTCATAGATACAATATTGGCATATGCTACCGCTGTGAAGACAATGAAATACGTTCAGATATTTGAAGTCTGTATGTTCAAATGCCACGCCTGAATAGATTCATGTTTTTCAGAACGATAATTATGCCTGCATAATTATGTTAGATACTTGATTTTTTATAGTAAATGTAAAATCATAACGTAAATAATCTACAAATTGTTATATATTTAACTTTTACAATAAAAAATAAAATACAGAAAAAGAAGAATGATTTTATTTAAATATCTAAATTTAATTAGATCTGAACATAATTTGATTAAATTATTAAAATAATTATATAAGACGCTCAAACTAGTTGCTAGAATATTAAAACTTTTTACAGCATTGCTTTATTATGTTCAATTTTCTACAAAATTATTTTAATGATCAAAGTTATTTTAATGTACAAAATGATTTTCAGATCTATATTTAGCTAAAAATTATAGTTATTTTGGTAAAATCGTTTGTGCGATAATCAACTCGGTGCAGCCGCAATGAAGTTTCGCGAAGCAATTTATGATTGACATTAATAAGGTCAAGATCGTGATAATTATTATTATTTTCAAAGAATAAATAATAAATTTATTGTTTTTAATTATCTGTAAAATATATTTTTACTTTTTACTAGATAAATTTATTTTTATCGAGTTGTCACATACACAGATGATTAAACAAACAGAAGAATCTTTGACTGAATATAAACGAAGTGCAAAGTGCGAAGAGCGACATTAAATATTCTCGTGCACATTAAGTCAAATATATATATATAGAGCATAATAAA